AACCTCATGTGGGGCTTGATCCCAGGACCCTGGGATCATGACCTGAGTCAAAGGCAGAGGCTTTAACCCACTGAGTCACCTAGGCACCTCTATTTTTATAAAAAATTTTTTAAAAGATTTTATATATTTACTTATTTTTTTAAAAAGATTTTATTTATTTGAGAGAGAGAGAGAGAGAGACACCAAGAGAGAGCATGAGAGGGGAGAAGGTCAGAGGGAGAAGCAGATTCCCCATGGAGCTGGGAACCCAATGTGGGACTTGATCCCAGGACCCCAGGATCATGACCTGAGCCGAAGGCAGTCACTTAACCAACTGAGCCACCCAAGTACCCATATATTTATTTGAGAGAAAGAGAGAGAGAGAGTGAGCATGAGTGGGGCAAGGGGCAGAAAGAGATGCAGACTCCCCACTGAATGGGGAACCTGGTGAGGGTCTCAGTCCTGGGACTCTGGGATCATGACCTGAGCAGAAGGCAGATGCTTAACTGACTGAGCCACCCAGGCACCCCTGACTCCATTTTAGATTGGCTCTATCTGCTATTTTGCTGTTAGGCCCCATTTACTCATGTTTAATATTTTACCTTTGAATAAGCCAAAAAAGCTATACTCCTACTTCAAAGGGGATGCAAGGAAGTTGATCATTCTCTGAGTTTTGTCCTAGGCCCCAAACACCTGATCACACCTAAGCAGAGCCAGATCCCAAACACATTCCAGGACATTTGTTTTGAAGAAGCCTCGGCTGATACTGGCATCAATACCCCTACCTATTGCCATGATACCTATTGTTCACCGGACACTTGCCTTTGAATGGACCTCATCCTGGTCCCCTCAAGAGACATGTACTCTGGACCCCTTTCCAATATCAACCCCTAACCCCAACCAACCAAGGACAAGACTCATTTTCTTTTCCTTTTCAAGTCTCCCATACACTCCATTTGTTATTTTCTGTCACTCACACTACTCAGTAAACTCTGCTTTCACTTTTTCTGGCTTGCGTGTGATTTCTGTCCTTCGAGAAGCCAAGAACCCTCTTGGCGGGTCCCATGGGACCCTCTTCCGAGTCCTTGGACCAGCCTGCCTGCTTCACCTGCACCACCACTTGGTGAGGCTGAGACATAGTGGGAGATCACAAAAACTGTACAGAGTAAAACAGCACAGAGCAACACCAAACAGACGAGAGGTGTTTTAGAGTTTCAACCACTTGAGGCTGTCCAGTATAGCTTTGCTGATTGATTGCCCTATTGAGTGTGTGGTCCCTATACCTCTTTCCTGATTACCTCAGTCCTATCCTGATCACCAGATTCCTGTAGGGAATCTGAGAGATTTGGAGGCAGATATAGGAAAAAGCTAGGACCACAAGAAGCCGTAACATCCAATGAGCTTTACTGGGTTGACAAAGATTCTCTTCTTCACCAAACTCTACTCAGGCTCTCCTGAAATCCCCTGCCACTAGATCTTGACTTTTGGACTTCTCTGTATTGTCTAATTTTAGCAAGTCAGTTAGGCCAGAATTTCCCATCCTCTATATCTGATCATCCTTGATATCTACTCAGGTTCCTCATCCCTCAGGGGATATCCAATCATCTGGCCTGCCTTCAGCAAGAGTCCTGTTAGGTTGATTTAGGAATCCAGGAACCCCTCTTATCTCTGATGTTTCCCCTTAGTAATTTTCCATCCATCAACTTCCAACATGCCCCTTGGCTATAAATTCTCATTTGCCCATGGGATATTCGGAATTGAACCTGGTTCTATATTGAGGTCTCTTTTTCCATGCTGCAATAGTACTGAATAAAATGTTTTACCACCTTAAATCCACCACTGTTTTTCCTTTGACAGGGTGGCACTTGGACAGAGTTGCATGAGAGGGAAAGTCCCAGCCATGGGACTATCCAAAGGCTTATGGTTCAGGAGCCACCATTCAGAAGGGAGGAGAGCAAGGAAACCCCTGAGGCAGAACGGCATCTGGGAGGGAGCGTGCTCAGCAGAATGGAGTGGTCAGAGAGCTCTGACAGGCCACAGCAGCTCAGTGTCTTCTAATCACAAGTCTCTATTTTACCAATGTTCAGTAGATGCTGGGTGATGGTTTCACAGAGTATGTAAAGCAGGGAGGCTCTGAATAGCTAAAAATGTGCTTGTTTGGGCCATTTTGGATATGCACAAGTTTGAGTTTGAGTTTGGCTCTGGGCTTTTGAGTTAATGGGTTTTAGCCTATAGTGAAGAAATAAACCTAGGGGCCAATATACAGAGTCCAGCTTGTTAGCATAACAAATGTCCACCTCACACTACATGCCAAAATGCATTCCTGGAAGAGTAAAGATTGAAAAGTTTTAAAAATAATAAAATGTGGAAGAAAATTAGGAAAATACTTTTATACTCCAGAGTTTGTGAAGACTTCCATAGAAGCAAGCTAGGAAACCGAGAAACCAATTTTTAAAAGGTATAGATTCGTTGAGTTATGCAGAATTAAATATTTTATACAGATACGATATCATAAAGAGAGTTAAAGGAGCAAAATTACATTACCAATTCAGTAGATGCATACACATTTGATGACACTGATCAAAAACTGATAAAACATCTTCATAAAACCAGATTTTAAAAAGGGACTTCATTAACTTGATAAAGAACACAACCTTAAAAAAAAAAAAAGAACACAACCTAGCTTACCTAGGATTCTTGATAATCATTACTAACAAAGACAAAAATGCTTGATTTCTTTCCGACTTTATGACAATTTGAGAGGCCCTGCACAAACAAGAAGAAGAAAATTAAATGAGTTAATAAGAACTCATTTATTTATAATGAGTTAATAAGAACTCATATATAACATAAGAAAATGTTATTTATATGGAAAGTCAACATAACGGACTGACAAGTATTACAGGAGAGCAAGATTTCCACGTAAAGGGACCTACATCAATCGCCTTTCTCTGCAAGAGCAGTAATCGATAAAACAATGAAAAGGAAAACTAAAGACCTAATGAGAGGACAAAATGAATGGGAGATCCTAGGAACTGGTATAGGCTCAAAGTTCTTAGTATTGTGTCCTGTGTACGACATCGTGGAGAAGCGTATAAATGCAATTGATGAGTGTCCGGTTTTCTGACTCCGGAGCCGGGATGGGAGGCCCTAACCCTATATCCGCCGCTAGCCCTAATCACCTCGACCACCCCCTAGACCTTAGCACCCCAAGAATTTTCAACCAAGTCCCGCCCCTCGCACTGATCCCACCCTAAAGTCTGCCCTTCGGAAAACTCAACTAAGCCACGCCCCTAGGCGCTGTCTCGCCCCAGCTCCGCCCCACAAGCCTAAACAACGAAATCCCGCCACTGACCGGAGGCCCCTGGGAGCCCCGTCCAACCCCAAGTCCTGCGCTGATCCAGCCTCAGGCCCCAAACGCGTCTCTCTGCAAGAAGAAACTAGCATTTTTCTCGCACTCGCGGCTGCCAGCAACCTCCTCCCGTCATTGCCCCCCCCCCCGCCCCTGCCCCGCCCCCCTACCCCGCCCCTGCCCCGCCCCCTGACTAGCAATCCTTATAGCTCAGCTCACTAGGCCCCGCCCCTCACGTTGTGCGCGGCTCAGAAACCGGAAGCAGAAGTGCGCTCATGCGCGTGCGCGAGCTGGCGGCCATAGCTTCACGGGGCCACACTCGCATCTGGGCTAGTTTTTTGCCCTGGTTCACCGCGTCCTTCCGGACTCGGTCTGGCCAGCCCCAGGTCCGGCCTCCGGGAGGGGGAGAGGTCGGCACTGGGCGGACGGCCGCTCTGGCCGTGCCCCCTGCCTCAGCCGGAACCCAGCACCGGGGGCCCCCCCCTCTGCCGCGGCTGGTTCCAAACTCACTGAATCAGGAGCTGTGGGCTGCGTCTAGCAGCGGGGGTAAGTCGGCTGCAGGCTGAAGTTAGCGAACCACCTTCCTCTGTAGTCGGCCTTCCAAAGCATCCTCTGCTGTCTTTTCGGAAAGTAAAAGCATCCCTGTCATTCGGTCACTGGGACGAGCGCCTCCACCTCGTCTGTACGCTGGCCAGTGGATTTCGGCGTGTTCGGTGAGCGCGGGGTGACGTTTGCCTCCACTCCGTTCCCATCTCCCCTCCTGGTGCAGATCTTTCATCCGTGAATTTTACCTTGCCTGTGGGCATCAGTTTGATACATTTTATTCAGGTACATAAACGTGAACTGATTACTTAGTATCTCTGTAACCCCCTTCAACGTCGAATGCAGCTATAATTTTTAATCATTTATCCGTAGGTTATTTTGGATTTCACACCGAGAATGAGATCATGTGTCATTTGCAGCGTTTTCTCTTTTATTCCTGTACCTTGCTTTCCTATTTCTTTAGTGTGTTTGCTAGTGTCCATCAGTGGACAGTCAGTACTAGAATAGCATATAACTTGCATCCTTGCCTTGTTCCTGATCCCAGAGGGAATTATTCTATCATTTCAGCATTTAAATAGGATGTTTATGGGGCACCTGGAAGGCTCAGTTAGGTGTCCGACTTTTTTTTTTTTTTTTTTTAAAGAGAGAGTGAGGGAAGGGAGAGGGAGAATCTTAAGCAGACTCCCCACTGAGGGTAGGGGGAGCCCCACCCGGCCCCTGGGGCCAGATCTCACAGCCCTGAGTTCAAGACTTGAACCAAAATCAAGTCCCACAACCAACTGAGCTACCTAGGTGACCCCAGCAATAGTCTCTTGGTCTCAGCTCAGGTCTTGATCTCAGGGTGGTGAATTCAAGCTCTGCTAGGCTCCACACTGGGCACGAGCCTCCTTTAAAAAAAAAAAAAAAGATGTTTGCTGTAGGTGTTGTAGATAATTATTTTTTCCTAATTAAAGCTACTCTTCTCTAGTTCTAGTGGGTTAAATGATCAGCAATGGGTATGGATATAGATCGGTCACTATTCTGTATCTAAGGGGAAGAGTCACATGATCTTTTTCTATTAATGTGATGATTATATTAATTGAGGATTCATTTTTAACCACTTTCATTACTAGGAGGAAATGAATTCAGTTTATGATTATACTCTATCCAGTTCTTGACTGTACTAATACTTTTATATTATTTTGCATTCATATGTGTGAATGAGATCTTTCCTGTTCTTAAGATATTATTTATTTATTTATTTGACAGAGAGAGTGAGTGAGAGAGAGAGCATGAGTGGGGGATGGAGGAGTCAGATTGGGGAGAGGGAGAGGGAGAAGCAGACTCCCCACTGGGCAAGGAGCCCAATGGGGGACTCAGTCCCAGGACCTGAGATCATCTTCTGAGCCAAACCACCCAGGCTCCCTCCTGTTTTGTTTTGAGTTGTACTTTTTTTGGCTTGGAAACACTCAGGAAAACAGTATTTTCCACCCCTACAATGGAATTATGAATCCTTTACTTATTTGGTGAACTTGCCTGTGAAACAATTTGTAATTTATATTTCCTTTGTGAGCATTTTTTAAAGTACTGTTTTTGTTGTTGTTGTTGTTGTTGTTTCCTTTTAGGACTGGATGTAATTAAGGTTTTTTTTTTTAAGATTTTATTTATCTATTTGATAGAGATCACAAGCAGGCAGAGAGGCAGGCAGAGAGGGAGGGGGAAGCAGGCTCCCTGCTGAGCAGAGAGCCAGATGCAGGGCTCTATCCCAGGATTCTGGGATCATGACCTGAGCCAAAGGCAGAGGCTTTAACCCACTGAGCCACCCAGGTGACCCGGATGTAATTAAGTTTTGTATTTATTTTAGATCATTGCCAGAAAGTTGTATTTCTCTCTAGAATTTCATTCAGTATCTGTACATTTTCATATATATTCTGTTAACTTTTTTGTTGTATTCTTTCTTCAACATCTGTGATTATGATTCATTCATAACTCTTTATCTATGCTCTGTTAAGATTGCTAGAGCTTTGTTGATTTCATTAGTGTTCAAGGGCACATTGTTCATTTTTATGATTCTTTTAATTTTTTTTAAAATATTAATTTCATCCTACTTTCATTTCTCTAGACCTTTATGCTATTCTTTTTCCATCCTTTAAGTTAATGATTAGCCGACTCGTACTGGTTTTATTTTCTCTGGGAGTTGATGATATTCACATAAATTCGTGAATATATGTACCTCACTCAACTGTGGATTTCCAGTGTTATCTGAAACACTTCTTTTAATTTTCTGCTTCCCTGCCACAAAAGTATTCCTAACTGGCTAAAAATAAATGTGTGTGTGCCTCTTTATCCCTGTAACATGCTGCATTATTATGTGTCATATACCACACCTTTTACATCTTGTTCATTTACTGCCCCCCCTCATGATTATAACATCCGTGTCCTTCATGATTTTTCTGTGTTGTTCCGTGCTATATCCCCTGTGACTATATGTAGTGGGATTGGAGTAAATATTACCTAAGTAAATATGAAATAAAGGAGCAAGAGGTAAGGGCCTTAAGGGAAGCTTCCTTGACCAAAAAGGGAGCCTAGTCAAGAGGAGCTGGAAGATAAAACATTTATTTATTTTAAAGATTTTATTTATTTATTTCTCTCTCTCCGGAGAGAGAGAGAGAGACCAGAGGGAGAGCGACAAACAGGCTTTGCACTGAGCACAGAGCCTGATGCAGGGCTTGTTCCCACGACCCTGAGATGAATTCAAGAGTTGGACACTTAACCAACTGAGCCACCCAGGCGCCCCAAGATAAGACATGTAAATAGAATACTTCATCTGTCTACTTTCTGTAGTGCACAGCAGAATTCTAGGCTAGACTCTCATCATGTTAGTTATAACGGCCTCACTAACAGCTAAACTGTAGGGTATATGTTCAGAAATAGACTCATTGGGAGTTTAGGCTCTGAAGCCAGACAGGCCTGCATTCACACACGCGTCTGTGTGATACATCCTGTGTTACATACACCTTAGCAGCTTTCTGACTGGGTAACATTGAGTGTATGGTTAATTGATTCTCAGATTTCTCAGCTATAACCTGGTTGTAATAATACCTGATTTGCAGAGCTTCTCCAAAAGAAAAGCTCTTTGGAAGATCATTCTCACATCACAGTTGCTCAAATGGCACGTTATTAATTTAGTAAAGGATGTTGTGATTTTTATCGGTTTTAAAATGTACTACTGGGGGACGCCTGGGTGGCTCAGTCAGTTAAGTGGCTGCCTTCGGCTTGGGTCATGATACCAGGGTCCTGGGATTGAGCCCAGGACAGGCTCCCTACTCAGCTGGGACCCTGCTTCTCCCTCTGCCTCTGCCTGCCTGTGCTCTCTCTCTCTCTCTCTCTCTGACAAATAAATAAATAAAATCTTTAAAAAAAATGTCCTACTGGATCCACTGCATGGGAAAAACTGTTGTGTTTTTGTTATTTTAAATTTGTGTACTAGAGCTGCACATGCCACTGTCAGAGATGACATGTTACTAACTTCACTTCTGGTGTTTTGCTCTGCTCTTCTGTATTGTGTAGGCACAGTTTAGCAGGAGAGTCACAGCTTGGCAGTCTTCTCTGCCTCCTACATGTGGAGTTTAGTCCATTGGTGCTTTTTCGCAAAAATCAAGTTTCAGAGGCCCTGCAGCCCATGAAGGGGTCAGTGGTTGGGCTGAACAGTAATTCCTGTTAGCCTGCCAGTGGTGCAGAAGTAAGAAATACTGGGAGTGGAGCCATCAGAAGTCACAGCTATAAGTGCTTTTTGGGATTTGACACAGTGTGTATTTTATGGTGGCAGGCATTGTCTGCTCTTTTTTGTTTTCCATTATCATGGGAAAACTGACAGCTCAACTTTTTTAGATTTCAGTTAACTTAGAACATGGGACTTTTAGCCATTTTTAACCTTTTTAAATTAGCAGGGACCCCAGCAATTTTTTTTTTTTTTTTTAAGCTCTGGTGGAGGTAAGATTACTCCACCTCCTTAAAAGATCAGTGTGTATTTGGTTGGGTGTCTTGGGCATATGCTTTATACGTGTGTGTGTGTGTTTTGAGGGAAGCGGCCCCTCATAATGGATGTGCTGTAGCATCCAGGCTCATGAGTTGTGGAAATTGTGGGGAGACCTGGATTCTCGTGTTTTCTTTCTCCTGCTTTAGCTCTAACCTCTCAGTTCTCTGACTTTTTTCATGAAGGGAACATGGAAGAAGAAAGAAGAGCTGCTGAGTTACAGAAAAATATGACACAGGTAGGTAGAAGCTAATGATTCTCCAAAAGCATTTTCCATCCCACCAAGTCCTTGACCTCCTAATTGTTTAAAGCAGTGGTCAGCAATCTATTTCTCTATGGGGCCACATTGTAAGTATCTTAGGCATTGAAGGTTCTAGAGTTTCTATTGCGATTAAACCGTGAATTTAGTTTGAAAGCAGCCACAGGCAGTACATAAACAAATGTTTTATTGTGTTCCAATAAAACTTTACTTACACAAGCAAGTAGTAGGCTGGATTTAGCCCATATGCTGTAGTTCGCTGACCCCTGGCCTAGAGTACAAGCCAGCTGTGGGCCTGAGTTGCAAGTTGTATTTTTGCAAGGCTCCTGGGCCTTAGGTTTGTGGGAAGAAAAAAAAAGGGGGAAGGGGAATGCTCCCTGTTCCTCAGTGGGGTTTTTTTTTTTTTTTTTTAAAGATTTTTTTTATTTACTTGACAGAGATCACAAGTAGGCAGAGAGGCAGGCAGAGAGAGAGGAGGAAGCAGGCTTCCTGCTGAGCAGAGAGCCCGATGCGGGGCTCGATCCCAGGACCCTGGGATCATGACCTGAGCCGAAGGCAGAGGCTTTAACCCACTGAGCCACCCAGACGCCCCCCTCAGTGTATTTTTATGCATTTAAATCTCAATTGAATTTGGCACAGTCTTTTATGTTGTGCTGATTGCTGTGGTGGGAAAGAAGGAAGCAGGTGAAATTGTTTGTGTCAGTGTGGAAATTATTTCATCTCTAGAGCATTTCTGTCATTTCTGCTATTGGCTCTGGACTGTCTTGGATCATTATAAGACTGGAATTGGTCACCATCAAATCGTGTGAGAGACAAATTTGGTGTTTTAGAAGTGTGGTTAGATCCATGAGACAGGATGGGGTCAGTTAGGGAGGGTGTAATGAATAGAAAGAGAAAGATCTGGTGTCTGAACTCTAGGGTAGATGTTGGGAGACCATAAAATCTTCAGAACTTCCTATGAATTGATTCTTAGTTCCCTAATGTTAGCAACCTCATCAATCTTCTTGCACACGTGGGGAGAGTAGGCACCTTTCTGAAAGGAATATATTTGGGATGTTTTAGGACTCCGTGGTCTTTGAGGATGTGGCTGTGGACTTCACCCAGGAGGAGTGGGCTCTGCTGGATCTGGCTCAGAGGAGCCTCTACAGAGATGTGATGCTGGAAAACTTTCAGAACCTGGCCTCACTAGGTAAGAATGGCAACATTCCTTCATTTAGTTGTTTAGAAGATAATTTCACTAATTGATCTTGTTCCAGGATTTAGGCTGAGGAATTGGAACGAATTGGTAAATTAGACCGACACTGTCACAGGCCTCAAAGAACTTAGAGCCTAATGGCTTCACCATGACAATAAACGTGTATAGTGAACTGCCTTTTTCTTTTTCTTTTCTTTTTTAAAGATTTTATTTACTTATTTGTCAGAGAGAGAGAAAGAGCAAGTGAACACAAGCAGGGAGAGCAGCAGGCTCCCTGCTGAGCTGGGAGCCAGATGTGGGACTCGATCTCAGGACCCTGGGATCATGACCTGAGCCGAAGGTGGATGCCTGACTGACTGAGCCACCCAGGCGTCCCTGTCTTTTTATTTTTCTTGTGGCTAAAAGTCTTGAGGCTTATTAACTGTTAGAAGTGCGGGCACAGACTTCAGCGGTCACTTTGGGCCCTAGGGAGGTTTGTGGTTTGGGTCCTTATGAGAATTTTACTGACATCAATGCTCTTTACTCAGAAAGATACCTGTAAACAAGAGGGGTTATTAGTGCAGAGAGAGAGGACACATGACATGGGGAGCTGTGGTATGTTTCAGAATGAAGGTGTTAAAAAGTACATATTGTTGGGTTTGTACTTTGGGTGAGTGCTTTGGAGATGGGTCTTGGAAGCAGGCTGTATTGGCTTCCTAGGCCTTTCATAACAAAGTACCCCAAACTGTGGCTAAAAACAGCAGAAACTTATTCTTTCACATTTCTGGAGACTGGAAGTACAGAATGTGGGGGTCAGTAGGGCCATGCTCCTTTTGAAGGCTCTATGGCAGAAGTCTCCTGGTCTCTCCCTAGCTTCTGGTGGTTGCCAGCAATTGTTGGCATTTCTTGGTTTGCAGCGATATCTTTTTCTTTCTTTCTTTCTTTTTTTTTTTTTAAGATTTTCTTTTCAGGTGATCTCTACACCCAACATGGGGCTGGAACCCACCATCCTGAGATCAGGAGTTGCATGCTCTACGGAATGAGCCAGCCAGGCGCCCCGTGCAGCTGGATCATTCTAATCTCTGCCTTTATCTTCACATGGCCCTCTTCCCTCTGTCTCTATGCCCCTCCTTTAAAGGACACTGCTCAGTGGATTTAAGACCGACCTAATCCAGTATAACTCCATCTTTACTTGCTTATAGCTACGTATTTCCAGATAAGATACATTAGTTCCAAATAAAATAACATTCTGAGGTTTCAAGAAGGGACAGGCTATTTTATTTTGATACACTTACTTTTTTTAGAGCAGTTGTAGATTCAGAGCAGAAGTGAGTGGTAGATACAGGGACTTCTCCTGTACAGCCTGCTCCCATCCAGGTACAGCCTCTTCCACTACCCACATCTCCTGCCAGAGTGGCACACTTGTTACAGTTGATGAGCCTGAGCTGACACATCATTGTCATCGCCCTGAGTCCATCATTCAACACAGAAACATTCTGTGCTTTGGACAAAGACGTAATGGCACATATTCATCGTTAGAGTATCATACAGAGTACTTTGACGGTCCTAAAAGTCCTCTTTGCCTTGTCAGTTCATCTCCTTCCCCACTAACCTGTGGCAACCCCCAATCTTTTTACTCTTCCCACAGTTTTGGCTTTTTTTAGAATATCTTGTGGTTGGAATCATACAGTATATAGATTTTTTTCCAGTGGCTTCTTTCACTTAGTAATGTGCATTTATGCTTCTTTCGTGTCTTTTCATGGCTTGATAATTCTTTTCTTTCTAGTTCTGAATAATATTTTATTGTCTGGGTGTAACACGGTTTTATTCATTCACCCGCTGAAGGACATTTTAATCGTTTCTAAGTTTGGGCAGCTGTGAATAAAGCTGCAGTCAACATGCATGTGCAGGTTTTTGTATGGATGTGTTTTCAGCTCCTTTGGGTAAATTCCAAGGAGTGTGATTGCTGATCATATGGTAAGATTAGTTTTGTAAGAAGCTGCCGGACTGTCTGCACAAGTGCTGGACCATCTCGCATTCCCCGCGGCAGTGAGTGAGAGCCGCTGTTCACAGCCTTGCTGGCATTTGTTGTCGGTGTTCTGGATTTTAGCTGTTCTCATAGGTGATCTAAGGTGTGGCAGTTTCTCATTGTTTTAATTTGTATTTTCCTGATGACATGTTCGGATATCTTTTCATATGATGTTTTCTTTGAGGAGTTTCAAAGTTTTGCATTTTATATTTAGCTCTTTGATCCATTTTGAGTTTTTTTTTTTTTTAAGATTTTATTTATATGTCAGAGAGAGCACGTGTGCAAGCAGGGGGTGCGGCAGGTAGAGGGAGAACAGGCTCCCTGCTGAGCGAGGAACCCGATATGGGGCTCGATCCCAAGACCCCGGGATCATGACCTGAGCCACCCAGCTGTCCCCATTTTGAGTTGATTTTGTGAAGAATGTAAAAGTCTGTGTCTAGATTCATTTTCTTGCATGTTGATGGCTTGTTTCCGTCTCTGTTGGAAAGACTATCTTTTCCACATACTGCCTTTACTCCTTTGTCAAATATCAGCTGACCATATGTAGGTCTGTTTCTGCCTCTCTGTTCTGTTTCATGGCTCTGTTTGGCCATAAATTTTCAAGGGACACTGCTCAACCCAGTCCACAGGTGGTCACTTTAGGTTGGATGCTGCCCAAAGAGGTAGACATTTTATTATTAAGTATTTTGTCGGGTGCCCAGTGACTGGGTGAGTCATCCTTAGATTAAATTATGTAGTGGCCCAATTTGTTTAATTTTATCATGGTCTAGGGGCGCCTGGGTGGCCTAGCAGTTAAGCATCTGTCTTCAGCTCAGGTCATGATCCCGGGGTCCTGGGATCAAGCCCCACACTGGGCTCCCTGCTCAGCGGGAAGCCCGCTTCTCCCTCTCCCACTCCAACTGCTTGTGTTCCCTCTCTCGCTGTATCTCTGTCAAATAAATAAAATCTTAAAAAAAAAAATTATCATGTTCAGAGTAATCTTGTTTAAGGTTGGTATTCTGTGAGATTACTAACGTGCAACAGGAGAACAAAATGGCCTGGCTGTATCACATGAGCTTCTAATATTAAAGTTTAGATAATGAATGTCACATCAGTTCTAGAAATCAGAGGCTGTGTCATTGTCTTTGTCATTGTCTACTCCCCCCTCCGCCACTGGTTTAAAAAAAACTTTTGACATTTTGTAGAAATTCAGTTCACTCTTTCCCATTGTTACAGTATCAGGAGAGCAAAATTTTGACCCCGTCTCATGGAAATGTTTATGGATCATCATTGTTTTCCCTCATGATAAGCCTTTCTGCATTAACAGGATATCCACTACACACACCATATCTGATCTCCCAGTGGAAACAAGAGGAGGACCTGGAGACAGTGGAAGGAGGACCTGTCCAGAGGGAGCACCAGGAAGGCAAGGGTCCTTGGGAAAAACTGTCCTGGTTGGGGGAATATTAGGTTTGGAAAAATCAAATAAAAGCAAAGCAAAACTTTGTTTTGTTTGAGGAGTCTGATCTCCCAGCCATCTTGGATTACTATTTTGACTTTTATCGGTATTCTCACCCTTCCCTTGTTCCTGAAATATTGTCCGTATTTCTTCTTGTAAGTTAGTATTTGGTCATATGCACTTTAAGAGGGAACTGGTTCCTTTTTATTTTGTTTTCCTTTTTAAGTTTTATTTATTGAAGCAATCTCTATACCCCACGTGGGGTTCAAGCTCATGGCCCCAAGATCAAGAGTTGCATGCTCTTCCAATTGAGCCAGCCAAGTCCCCCTTGTTTTCCTAATAGTACCTTATTTGTGTTACTATCAGTCTCAGTCTCCATGGAATAATTTCTTGCTTACCGTTTTGACCCTTCTGCGTATTACCAAAGTCTTGACACAGCCACATTGCCAGAAGTCCCTTGCTTATAGGTGCCTGTACTTTTTTGTTTCAGGTTTTGAGAGTCAGTTTAAAACCAGTGAATCAGTAGCTCCACAAGATATTTATGGGCAAGAAATATCCAATGAACAGAAAATAGTGAGATTCAAAAGGAATGATTCTCACTCATCAATTTTACACAAAAACTGGGAATACCAGGGTATTTGTCATCAGAACAAAAACCATGAGAGACATTTGAGGTGAGTGCCATTCATAAAAGAAAAACTAATGCCTCAGGAGAGAATCTTAAAATGTCATAAAACTTAAAAAATGTTTATCTAGAATTTGTTCCAACATTGTGATTTCATAAAGAATTTTTTCAAGATTTTTTTTTTCCCAAAAAAGACATTGCGATCTTCAGTGTTTGACACAGAGTTCAGTTGTAAGCAATTATCAGAAAAATTGTATGTCAAGAAAACCTCAGTGATAATATTGGGTATTGTAGACCCTTCTGTGAGAACTTTGAACTTGTAACTTGACAGGGCAGAAAATGTACCTAGTCACTGAAAATGATAAAAGTTTATTTATTACTAATAATGTGCTTTTATTTTTAAAAGAAGTCCAGTTGCAAAGAACATCTATGAATGCAATGAAGAGAATCGATGTGGACAAGCCTTGGGCGAAATTTCACATCTGAATGTACTCAAGAGAACTACTGAAGTAAAGTCCTATGAATGCCATGAGTGTAAAAAGGCCTTCACAGATCATTTGTCCCTTAAGAATCACATCAGGTCTCACACTGGAAGCAAACCCTATCGATGTAAAGAATGTGGGAAAGCTTTCCATTTTCTTGCTTGTTTTAAGAAGCATGTGAAAAATCCCACCGAAGGGAAACCCTATGAATGTAAAGAATGTACAAAAGCCTTCCGTTGTTCTTCCTTCTTTAGGGTACATATGAAGATTCACACTGGAAAGATGAACTTCGAATGTAAGGAATGTGGAAAAACCTTTAGCTGTTCTTCGTCCCTGACGGAACACAAAAGGATTCACAGTGGAGATAAGCCTTATGAGTGTAGGGAATGTGGGAAGGCGTTTAGTTGTTCCTCCTCACTCTCCAAACATAAAAGGATTCACAGCGGAGACAGGCCATATGAATGTAAGGAATGTGGGAAGGCCTTTAGTTCTTCCTCTCACCTCATAATACATATACGAATTCACACCGGAGAGAAGCCTTACGAGTGTAAAGAGTGTGGGAAGGCCTTCAGTGAATCCTCAAAACTCACTGTACATGTCAGGACACACACAGGTGAGAAACCCTATAAATGTAAGGAATGTGGGAAAGCCTACAACTGTCCCTCCTCCTTAAGTATCCATATGAGAAAACACACTGGAGAGAAACCCTATGAATGTCTGGAATGTGGAAAAGCCTTCTATCTTCCCACTTCCCTTAATACACACGTGAAAAATCAAAGTAGGGAGAAACCCTATGAATGTAAGGAATGTGGAAAAGCCTTTAGTTGTCCCTCATCCTTCAGAGCACACGTGAGAGATCACACTGGGAAGATACAATATGAATGTAAGGAATGTGGGAAGGCTTTCAGCCGTTCCTCGTCCCTCACTGAACACTTAAGAACTCACACTGGAGAGAAGCCTTACGAGTGTAAAGAATGTGGGAAAGCCTTTATTAGTTCTTCCCACCTGACGGTTCATATACGAACTCACACTGGAGAGAAACCTTATGAATGTAAGAAATGTGGCAAAGCCTTTATTTACCCCTCAGCTCTGAGGATCCACATGAGAACACACACTGGGGAGAAACCGTATGAATGTAAGGAATGTGGGAAAGCCTTTCGCCATTCTTCATACCTTACTGTCCATGCAAGGATGCACACGGGTGAGAAACCCTTCGAATGTCTGGAATGTGGGAAGGCCTTCAGTTGTCCCTCATCCTTTCGAAGACATGTAAGAAGCCACACTGGAGAGAAACCATATGAATGTAAGGAATGTGGGAAAGCCTTTGTGTGTCCTGCCTACTTTCGAAGACATGTGAAAACTCATACTAGGGAAAATGTGTAAATGGTAAGAAATGTGGGAATGTCTGCAAGGCGTTTTCCCCTCGTAGCACAGCTGGAACGTGGTGGAGATGCACCGTGAATGTAAGAAAGCAAAAAAGTGTTGCTTATCTGTTTGACGACTTGAGAACTCATAGCTGAGAGAGACCCGTGTCCGTATGCCCTGTGGGAATGCCTTTGTGAATGTCACTTCTGGTGTATAAGAAAATTCACAAGAGAAGCACAGATCAGGACCTCACTTGTAAAGTGGACTGCTGGCTCATTGATAGTCAGTTTCTGTTTTTTGATATAAATTATTTCAGGTGATAAATTTTCCTCTAATACCTTTTTAGCTCTAACCACATTTTATTACAGGTACCTTTATTTCAGCCGAGATGTAAATGTTCTTTATGTTACAGAATCTTTTGGACCCACAGGGGGTTTAAGGTGTTTTTCATCAGGCAGGGGTGTTTTTTTTTTAAATTAGTATCTAATTAATGCTCATTGTTCCCCAGGTGTGCAGTCATAATGGTATCAACGCTTTGGTATTTGTAATTTCTTTTGTGATTTTTTTTTTCTTGTAATTGGTAATTTCATTTTGATCTAGTATGGGAGATTACTGGAAATTGCCTACCCAATATATATTTTTTTTTTATGTAAAAGAACCTAAAGTTTTTGAGATTATCACTTTTTACTGTTAAAACCTTTTCCTGTCTAAGAAGTCATTTCAACAGAAATTAGTAAGTGCAAAGATCTCGAAAGAGAGTCATATCTAATACGTTGTTTTTGTATTTTGTTCTTTGTCCTCGTTAGTGGCTGGGAATTGGACCCAGTGTTTTGAGTTTAAAAACGGACCTTGTGACAAGAAAGCTAGAAGTAAAGTTGGTTGAGCTGGCTTGTGTATGTTAGTTTGGACATGGTTGGGACTCCATTTCTCAGAATCATTTCTTATCCAGTCCCAGGTTAGGGTTGTCTGAAACAGAGTTTGCATGAGAATTGGAAGGCAGCGGGAAGAAGCTATTATCCTTCATTTAGTGGGGCCACAGGATGGAGACACACATAGGGGCCTGGTGGGCTTCTGTGTCCAGCTCATTTTCACCAGTCAGTACTGGCTTGAAACAGAACATTAAATGCTTTAACCTCGTAATGTCAGAGGCAGCAGCTCCGTAGACCTCTCCATCAGTTCCCCCGTTACGGTCATACACAGCTTCTTAGGTTCTCTGGCAAGTTCCGGCATTGTCATTTTGCTGATAGGACAGCCCCTCTGGAACGTCAGCTGGCTCTGTAGAGGGGCCCGAGTTCAGAGCAGGATTGTTAATATGTGTCGTGCAAGCCCATCACGTCACTTTGCTGCAGGGCACAGACATCTCTGCTAGTCCTCTGGTATCTCAAGCAAGAAGGGCTGTGGACGGTAAGGAAAATTAGGTACCAGGACATCATCCTGTTTTCGTGGAGGAAGGTTTACATTTGACACCTTCCAACAGATTTTTCTGCTCTTTTATTTGAGAAAGATGAAAACTAATTGGTTTGTGCTTCTTCAGTACATCTAGCTGCACTTTCCCCTTCCCGTCATATTTCCCCTTTATCCCTTATCATTTTCTGTTGTTTCAGTAAAGCAAAAATACACTAATATGCACATCTGCTAATCTTCAGTGTACAGCTTGATGAAATTGTACTTACGTACACACCCCGATAAACAGAGGTTCTCAGGATTCAAGAAAGCTTATTTATCTGCCTTCTCAATAATTGTCCCACAGAGGAAACCACAGTTAGACTTTTATTCAGTTTATTAGGTTTGTTTCTTCTTGATCCTCTTGGTCTTTATCTGAGTGCTTAAACACAATACTTAAAATTATGTGTTCAGCTTCTTTTCTCAGCATGATGTCTGGTTTGTCTTTTAATTGCTCTTTTTTTAATACTTAAATTTAAAAAAATTTTTTAATAAACATATAATGTATTATTAGCCCCAGGGGTACAGGTCTGTGAATCACCAGGTTTACACACTTCACAGCACTCACCATAGCACATACCCTCCCCAATGTCCATAATCCCACCACCCTCTCCCTACCCCCCTCACCCCGGCAACCCTCAGTCTACCCTGTGAGATTAAGAGTCTCTTATGGTTTGTCTCCCTCTCTTCCTACCCCCAAAACCCCCCACGTTGCATCTCCACTTTCTCGTATCAGGGAGATCATATGATAGTTGTCTTTCTCCTTAATTGCTCTTTTTGCTGGCTTACACTTACTTCTCTTGGTGTATGTTTTGTTTGTAGGAATGAGATCCCTGGCTCATAGGGTAGGCTGTAGCTTTAGTTTCAATAGGTATTCCCGTTTTTCGAAAAGGTGGCTTCCATCTCTCATCCTAAAAGCAATGCATGCAAATTCCAGTGGTTCCACCTAGTTGGACAGCCCTTTCTAATCTTAGGCATCCAGCAGAGGACGTGGTAATATCCTGCTTTGGTTTTAGTTTGCAGTTACCTGACACGTAGTGATGGTAAATACTTTTTATGTGCTTATTGGCTATTTGGATGTCTTTAAAAAAATTTTTTTTTTTAAAGATTTTATTTATTCAATAGAGAGAAAGCACAGGCAGTGGGGAGGGGCAGAGGGAGAAGGAGTAGCAGGATTCCCGCTGAGCGGGGATTCCCCAGGCGGGGCTCCATCCCAGGACTCTGAAGTTGTGACCTGAGCCAAAGGCAGTGGCTTAACTGACTGAGCCACCCAGGCGCCCCTGTTTGGTATCTTTTATGAGGGCACCCTGTTGAAGCATTTCATTCATTTTTGGTTCTTATTTTATGTGAAGGGTTTCCTTCTACTTACTTGTCCTTTATTGTATGTATGTGTATTTCTGTGTCTAGTTACATACACATACATTTATAAAACCATGTGTTATATATCATATATATTCATAACTTATGTATATTATATATATATATACATTGCAGATTACTTTTCCCTGTCTCTGGCTTGTCTTTTCACTCTTCTCATTGTTGCGAGTTATAAAGGGAATTTATTGGTTTGATTTTTGAGAAGTCCTTGGGTACAACTAGTTTCAGGGATGGCTGGGATCCTGGGGTTGAAAAGCTCTTACCTGGATGAATTCTGTGTCCGTGTCTTGGCTGTGCATCTTCTTGCATTTAGCTGTTCTTCGTGGCAGGCTCTTTCTGTTGTGGGTCCCAGAAGATCCAGGCTGCTTTTTCTGCAGGTTGAAGTCTCAGGGAGAAAAGAGCAACTCCAATGTGATCATTATAATAGAATCTGATTGGCTCACTTGTTACCGAATCACTGTGGCCAGGGGAATGTAATACTCTGATTTGTTCAGGTCTGGCTCGAGTGCTCATCCCCAAACCAGAGTAGAGTTTGCACCGACCCAATCAGAGTCCTGACCATTGTGATGTATGGCGAGGGGAGGAGGCAGCAGTAGGCAAGTGGGGTAATACTGTCAGCTAGCATGTTGTGCTTAGTGGGGTCTTAGCAATAGGAGGGAACTGAAGTCTGGTAACTCAGCAGGCCCTGAGAAAGGTCAGATGCCATCTCAGTGTATCTTTAGAATGCTAAAGATGGCTTCTCAACCTTTATGTTGCTTTGTGGTACATTTAGAAATCTGGTTGTGAGAGACTTAACAGCATTTTTTAAAAAATTATTTATTTATTTGATAGAGATCACAAGTAGGCAGAGAGGCAGGCCGAGAAAGAGGAAGGGAAGCAGGAGCAGAGAGCCCAATGCGGGGCTTGATCCCAGGACCCTGGGATCATGACCTGAGCGGGAGGCAGAGGCTTTAACCCACTGAGCCACCCAGGCGCCCCTAGCATTTTTATTCTTTAAGATTGTCTTGCCTTCTCTATTCCTCATTTGTTTCTATGTTATTTTTAGAATTTCCTCATCAGTTTTCACAGATATGCTGAGAGTATGCTGGGAATTGCATTGACTTGATGCCATAACCTGAATGAAATTGACATCTTTACAATATTGAGTCTTCCAATTAAATGTATTGTAATCATCCTTTTACCTGGGTTGTCTTTAATTTATCTTAACAGTGTTTTTTAGCTTAATTGTAGAGGTCTTGAATCTCTTTAATTTATTTCTAGGTATGTGGTATGTTTTGCTTTGTAAATATTTTTATTTATTTCCTTTTTGATTTTTCAGCTAGCATGAATTACAGTTTCTTTTTGTACATTGATCTTTTTATCCAATGACATTTATAAATTAAATTATTATTACTTGAATTATATTCAAATAGTTTGTGGATTATTTTGGATTTTCTGTGTACAATTCTGTCGATAACAAAAGAAAGTCTTACTTGATTTCTAAATTTTATCTTTTATTTTTTTTACCTCACTCGTTTACAGTGATGAATAGAAATGATGAATATGAACATCTTTACCGTGTTCCTGATCTTAGGGGAAAATGTTCCATATTTCATAAATATAATAATAGCTGCAAGTTTTTCATAGATTACTTTTAATAATGAAAAGAATTGTTTTATTCCCATTTGCCAAGTTTTTTTTTATTGTGAGTGAATATTTTATCCAGTGCCTTCTCTGTGTGTGTCATTGTCTTAAAAAATCCTTCAGTTTGTTAATGTGAATAACTACATTTCTTGATTTTTAGATGATAAAACTTGTCTTCCTGGAATAAACTACACTTGGACATGGTAGATATTGGCTTATTAGCCTTCTCATTTTGCTAGACTCAGTATACGACTTAAAAAAATTATTTTTGTGTCTGTTAATTAGAGGTTTGTCTTGTAATTTCCTTTAAAGTACTTGTCTGTGTTTTATGTAAAATTTATGTGGCCCCATAAAAGCATAAAAGGAGTTGGAAACTGTTCTGGAAGACTTTCTGTAAAATTTAAACCAGTTAGTGCTTATCTGTTTGGAACAGTTCACCAGTGAATCTGTCTTCTGGGTTTTCTTCACAGAAATCTTTCGTAAGATAGTTTCATTGGTGTTACACCAAATATAAAGAGACAGAAGATTAGTCAGTTTTTTAATTTGTTCTTGCGTTGGTTTTGCTAAATTGTGTCTGTCTATTCCATAACTTTTCAAACGTGTTGGCATAAATTTTGTTGATAATATCCTATAATTCTTTTTAATGTCTGAAAACTGTCATTATCTCCCCTTTTCATTTCTGATATTGGTGATATGTGTGTTCTCTTCCTTTTTCTTCATTCTGTTAGAGATTTAGATATATTAATTTTTTCAAAGAGCCAACTTTATTCTGCTTTCTGATTCTTTAATTTTTGGTTTATTCCCTTCTACTTGGGTTTAATTTAATTCTACCTATTTGAGGTAGATGCTTGTATCACTGCCCATCTTCTGTTATGCCCCGTCTGCTTAGAAACCTATCCAGTTAGAATTTTCTACCATTAACATTATCAGTAGCAATATGTCTGAGATATATGCAGAAAAATACTATTTATGTGCCTGTTACCTTAAGGTCATGGGGCTTCCGTGGTGGAATGGAAAGAA